GCTTTTCGTGAATCACTACCCGTGGGAGAAAGTCACCTGCGAGCGTAGAGCCACTGCCGAGAAGTCCTCGGGGAAACCAGTACCTCTTGATAGCTCTCGACAATTTCGGGAAGTACGTGTACCTGGATCCACTGAGGATGCTGGTTTTAGAGTGGATTTGGTAGCAGTTGCAATATAATTTCCTGCGCTTCAACACGTCCAAGTGTCTCGTCGACGACAATTCTAGTTATGCCCCCGTCAAATCGTTTTATAAACTCCTGCTTGGCTTTAAAATACAGCGCAAGAGGACTGCACCCTACCATCCTCAGGCCAAGGTTATTGAGAGAGGGAAGCGAAATTTGAAGAGCGTGCTGGTCGCACTGATGCAGATACATGGGGATTCGGATTGCCGAAGTGGGTTTTGTTATGCCAACCCCATGAATACATCAACTGGGTTCACACCAGTGTTTTTCAACCTCAGAACAGAGCTACCGTCTTCACTGGAGAATAAGATCCGAAATATCGCCGGACAATCGGTTACCCACTATCTAGGTGTGCCATGGGGTGGAACAACCACCATTCCGGTGCCTTGAATAAAGCAAAAAAAAAAAAAAAAAAAAACAACCTGGATGTTGCAAGGATTGAGCAGACAGCAAAACACTTTGAGTTATCGCCACCTGGAATATAAATCCAAGGACTTTGTTCCGAGAAACACGCTACATCTTAGCAACGCGGTTTGCAGATTCTCAGTGTCGCTGGCACCTAAATGGGAAGTGCCCTACAAATTAAACACGCGGGTGTAGCGCCTTTCTTATCGACTCGCTCGGTTAGAAGCGCCAGGCTTCTAAGGAAGAGAAGCTTTCGAAACTGAGAAAAAAACGACCAATCAAGACGGAGGCGCAGACAACGATAGTTTTGCTATGAACTTCTCCTCGAGGCAAACTGTCTCTGTGCTAGACTGCAGTCCGATCTAAAGGTCGTGGTTGCAATAAGACCACGATGCGACAGCCTTTGCCGAAAATGGTCATGGCCATAGAAAATGCAATTGTGCGCCTTGCTTACAGCATCCGAGATGGGACACACTTCAAGGCGATCGCCATCCTTTCTTAAACCCCGCGACGGCAACGTCGATCCCATTCTATCACATGCTAAAACAGCTGCACTACCCAAACTTCGTGAGGACACAGAAATTGTGGTCCTACCAGCATACAGGTGAACATCGACAGTCGTCCTCGATACGGCGGTATGTGAGCTCAAGGTGCAGGATCATCTTGGCCGTCCCGCATATGAAAAACTTAAAAATGACCCAACGGCACATGTCCAGCGGAAACAAGAGGAAAATGCTTGCGAAACTTTTCAAGCAGTTCCCAGAGTCAAGAAGCTTTTACCTGCCACTCATCTGCAGGAAAGGCTCTGCACTCAGCTTTTACGGGCTCCCCGAAATCTACAAGCCTAATGTTTACCTACGGCCTATCGTAGACATTACGATCTCTCCAGTCCGGGCGCTCTCAATATATTTCCTCCAGACTAGTGTTTTTTTTTGGAAGCACGTCAACGGATGTATTAAACACTATTCACCTGTGGAGCGTTTCTCACAAGTAAGACTCGGTGAAAGTGGTACACTGTACGGTGTACTTTGACGTTGTGTAATTTTTTACTAGGGTACTAGTTCCCTTGGCAGTCGCCGCAGCAAGAAAGGCTCTCCAGAAAGACGACTCCTTGGCCTCAAGGACAAGTCTCACTGTGGACAAAGCGTGCCGCGTGCTAGACTTTTGACTCAGCAGCACGTACTTTTGTTTCAAGGGTGAATTCTTTAAGCAAGTCAGTGGCACTTCAAGGGGGGCTTTCACCTCTGTTACAACAGCGAACTTCACGGTGAAAGTAGTTGAACAGGAGGGATCGCGGTGGTTCTCCAACAGATCCAAAACGTTTATCTGATATGGGGATGACTGTTTCTGTAAGAATTCGGAAATTCATATTTTCTTGGCGTAGATCATCTCCACTGAGCCGGCCAAACAGTTCACCGTAGAATGCGAGATCGATGACATTTTACCTTTCCTCGAGAAGCTGGCGAAACCAGAGAGAGAGGTATTGAGGATCAGTGTACGCAGAAAACCAACCACACAAAGCGGTACCTTCATTTCAAGTCAAACCACCCGGTGAGTTACATGACGTCACTAGTGTCGACACTTCTCCAGGGCAGTGGCAATCTGTTCCTCTGAGACTGATAGAAGAAAAAAGCAAAATGGCTATACAAGAAGTTTTGTTCAGCGTGTCGGCTGTCGCCAAAGTCGCGCCCGACAAGACCAGAGATCATCAGGATTAATGCAGCCGTGTCCCATCGCGAGCATCAGTGTACCTTTTGTTAAAGGGACCGGCGAAGCACCGGCAAGCGTATTGCGAAAAGTAGGCAACCCAGTTTCCACACAGCGAAACTTAATGGCAAGAACCATAGACCGCCTACCAAGGGAAAAAGCACAGGGCGTGATTTACAGGATTCCATGCAAAGACTGCCCAGCCACCTATACATCGCCGAGACAAAGAGCTTTCACTGGAGAATGCGTCAACTCAAGAATGACGTCCGTACCTTCGACCATGAACCCAACGCAGTTGCAGAACACGGCGACGAGCGTGACCTCCCGATTGACTTCGCTCATGGGCACGTGATTGACAAGAAGACATATTTCCGGAAACGGCTTCTCTTGGAATCTTGGCACATCAAACAAACGCCAGGAGACAGCAACATGTCTATAAGTGTGTTTCTGTCTTTGTACGCGCAAGGTCTACGTCACATTACAAGTACAGTGACCAAAACAGCGCCTACTTAAAAAGTGGAAACGATGTTTTCTCATTTATAAAGACGAAGAGATTGAAGCTGTGACTGCCCCATACGGCCTAGGGCCACCCCTGAAGAAGCCATGTAGGCTTCGAAACGGGGGGACTTTTTTTACGGCTTTGTTGTTGGGGAATTATCTTTTAATTTGATCATTTCACACAACCAGATAAATCTCTTTCGAAGATGTTTACCTTCAAGGAATTTCCAGTCGTTGAACACCTGCATCGCGTTCAGCCGGTCTTTGAAACAACGCCGTGGCAATCGAAAGCTTCGCTGTGGCACAGGACTTTGTCGGTTCTGAGTACGAATTGCACGATCTCGGTGAATGTTTTGCCGGAGTCTATGACACCCCAAAACCCACTCGAGTCTCGAGAAAATATCGATGTTGCTCCGAAGCTTCCTTGATAGTTTGAAGAATATTATTGATCATTTCCTCAGTCGACAGGAGTTTCAAATCGAGTCCAAACAATGAAGCGCAATACAAACCTCAAGTAAAGTTTGAGCGGAGTTTCGAGTCGAATAGAGTTTAAGGAGTCGGCCGCTACGCCGTTATGGTAAACTCGCAGATGGCATTATGAGGCCTGTTTATGTTTGCTTTATAAATATGTAAATAACGTACAGTGCTTTTTTATATCATGTACGTTGAACATCAGGCCCTTTTGGGGCTTAAATGTTTATAGCACATCAATTATTACCAGTTCTATGTGTGCCTCTCGTGTTTTTAATTTAAAACAACGCCACATGTAACATATGTTTCCTCGGTAACAGCCCTTCGGAAAATTCTTTTATACCTACGTGTCGGTGTCGGTGTATGTGTCGGTTTCACAGATTTGTAAAAAAACATCTGTGATAGGTACACGAATGTGGTTTGTGGAGGTCATTTACGCGGCGCGGGGGAGATAATAGAAAGAAAAAGTCATCCCAATAAGCTGGATAATTAACAGAAATGTGTTAAATAAGTGTTTAATTAGCAAAAATAAACGCATGGTTCACATCAAAAACATTTTGGGCGTCATCGAAAACCACCAAATTTGTACAATTTAGGAAGGTGCAGTGGTGCACTAAGCTTCCCACTCGTGAAACATGGGCAAAGCTCGGGCGGCGCGAAAAGGCGAATCATAAAGATACGGAAAAACCGTGCAGGCGTATTTACGCAACTCCTGCTTTCCGTCTATTGCACGAGAGGAGACTTCAACACGCCACCGCGCGTAGTGGTTTTGGATGATGCTTAACTATGTTTTGATTAGAATCATGGGTTTACCTTCACCGGTGTAAACGTTAACTAAAATATGTCGATACGTACTTGAGTTATATCGGGACGATTACATTCTATATTATCTCCCTCTGGCCAGGCACGTAGCCAGGTTGGGGGGGAGGGGGCATTGGGCCCGGCCCTCCCCCCCCCCCTCCTCATGGAGCATTTTGTCATGGGCACCCCTCCGCCCCCCCCCCCCCCCCCCCCCGCGAATGAAAATCCTGGCTACATGCCTTCCTGCAGCCATATAACTCAGTTGTACTAAGCAAATTTGTGTAGCTTTGGTTGCTTCTCTTTTTTAGCACTCTGTAAAGCTTAAACAATTTTCAGATATAATACAATCTAACTACAGCGTTACTCGATGTAGTTTTCACGATTGAGCTTGTCTCTCTTGATATCCTTCTTTTCGTATTATTTGTAGGAAATTCTGTAACCCTAAATGCGTCTGACTTAATATTTAATGGCCTTAATACTTTAAAGTCCCTCTTTCCCTATCGTAAGCTGGTGAAGATCAACCATATTCTTGAACCACCTGATGGTGGGTGCAGGAGAAGTAGAAGAACTGAAAGTGGAAGGGGCAGGAACAGAACAGGAAACGACGCATTTTTTTTTTTTCTGTTTCTGTCCTTACCAATGTTGGTTCTTCTAGTTTCCACCCAGTCCCAGGTGGTTCTAGAAAGTGCTTAATATTTTGTTTCCTACATAGAACAAGGAATAAATGTTCAAAATTACACAAACTTTCCGCAATATAGCTTTTTTTAAATATTGTTAAATGCTCATCGATTACGCTGTTATAGATGGGAACAATTATTGATATCTCAAATTTGAGTTAATCGCTAGACATTTCAATTTTTACAAGAAGCTGAGTGCAGATAATAGCTGGACTATGCTGAATTCAGGGAAATATGCTCTTTTTGTTTTTGTTACAGGATGATTGCACTCGTACTCTTGGCCGTAGTTGGGATGTCAATGCAACAGAAGGTTGTAAAGAACAAACCCCACATTGTTTTCATCTTGGCAGATGATTTGGTATGAAATATTTTGATATGTTTCATATTATACTGAAAAAACTGAACGAATTCGGGTTTATCGCTTTAGGTGCGTATATCTGACTGTAGTCTGTTGCAGAAAGTAGAATGGTTGCAGCGGGTCTGCTTTGTGATGTACTAATTTCTGAGGTTGGATAAAGAAAGCTTAATTGTTGCTGATACTTAGCCATTGTGGCTTTACATGGTTTGTACCTGGTTTCAGCTGTATGTTTACGGGGTCTTTATGATTGACATCAGTGAACCAGAGACGGTGATAGCCAGTCATTGAATATAAAAAAATAAAAATACATAGACGTGTTTTGTAAAGTTTCCCCACCCCCTTAAGGGTTCGCCGGTGTTACTGAGATTGTCCTGAGCTCCTTGGAAGTGCACGAGCCAGCTTCCGTGTTTAAGAATTGTTGTGCATGAAATCGGACGTGCCCGCTCAATACGATATTTTTGCTATCTGGAAAGCGGAGAGGCTTATTTGTTCTTCACGAAGCACGTCCGTTCATAATAAGCCCTGCTACGCGAATGCTAAACGCTACTAATCGATATATCTTTATCACGTGTGAATTAGTTGTGATGCGAGTCTCAGAGTCAGAGAGCCGTTTAAACCAATTGTTGTTAAACAGCGAGGGGAGCCCGGAGCCAGCCATGCATTCGGACGTTGCTAGTGCACTTGTGTCCTCCGTAGTTCTTGACACTCTTTCAATCGAAGTATTAACCACTGGGTGTCGTCAATGCCAGGTATATTGATTACACATACAAGTAAATACATCTGGAGATTATAGGTTGTGCTGCTAGTTCAGTTAAAGCGATGTATCACAGATTACATAAACATACGATATACAGCGATAATGAAAGTGCCAAGGAACCCGTCAAGAAAGACGAGACAAACAAAGCCTTACTATCAACTGAACTTTAATGCGGAAACACGCACACACACATACACGCGCACACACAGACACACACACCAACACACAAACACAAACACACACACACACACACACACACACACACACACACACACATATATATATATGCATCTACTCCGATTGATGGCGCAATGTACTCACATTTTTTTGGTGTTAGCCGTAGTAACGGTCCAGTGAGCATTTTCCTTCGCATGCAAGGCTGATGATTAAGTGATTTAATGACGCGAAACAGGTTCGCCGATGGCAGCGTGCCAGGCGAAGCATATACGTTAAAACTCTTACGTTAGAGTGCCTGCTAGCCTGCCGCTATGTACGCTGCGAGTGCGAAGAAACCCACCCTAGAATCAAACTGATGTGGCAATGATGGTTATGGTTAGAGAGGGGAAGGGTGAAAGAGTCGGATAAGTGAAAGTAAGGACTGTCACAAGCGACACGCCCAATCACACTTGTGTGGCAAATACTCTACAAAGTTCAAGAGGCTCCTTGTGCAAACGCCGCAAAATATTTTTTCTTTTTGCGTGTTTTTTATTGTTTTTTACCTGCCTACAATCTAGACGGCCAGCAACATTTTTGGTAGTGAGGCGAGTGCCCTGAACACGTGTTTGCTCTCTTAAGAGTTTATGGCATCTTGCTCTTTCATTCAGGCATCTCCCTGTTTGGCCAACGTGTGCACACGGCCATACGTTGTCGACCGCGTGCGATAAAATCCAAGTTACGCGTGGAACCAGGGATGGGCAAAATACATGCAAATACGTATCGAAATACAAATACAAAATACTTCGTCAAAAATGTATTTAATTACAAATATAATTACATTTCCAAAAAAAGCATTTAAGTACAAGATACAAATACAACCAAATGTATTTGGTCTCCTCCAAATACATTCCTCAAAATTTCCGTCAGCGACTTCAGGGCACCTACAACGGGTTTCTGGGTATCATCTTAATTTTGCATCAAACTCTGGAGTAAGTATGCGAGGCTCTAGTTACGTAATAGAAATATAATCTCAAACAAAAATGTAATCAGCTTGGACGTAATAGGTGAAAAAAGTACAGAGCTTCAAGCAGCTTTTTTTTTGTCGATTAGATTTTGGTATAGACCAACAAAGAACCGAGACGACCAAGACGCGCAGCACTAGCTAGAGAATTTTTTATTGTTGCAACTCGCACCAGTTACGAAAATCTGGACGACCCGCGCATTTAGAATGTTCCAGGCAAAAATATGGATGGAAATCAGGCTGGGAAGCATCACAAGTTTTCACAGGCACTTATTTAGTCTGTCTGCCTGTGAACGTCTATTTCGTCTCTATTCTTGCCCTGGACTAGCACCGTAATCACAAAGTCACTAAACGCTTGTGCTTGATTGAGAGACACTGCATTCGGTGCAGAACGTAGTTTTCTTCCTGCTCTGGACAGTGCCTTTAAAATAAAGCCGGAGGTAAAAAAAAAAAGCCCCATGGCCGAATAAAGGATGGAGACTATATCTTACAAGCACATGCATAAAAACAAGAATTGTAACTTTGGCAATAACATTTATTTAACGTAATAGAGGCAAGTGCCGCGGGCGCCCGGCGTGCCCGGGCGCCCGCGGTGAGCGAGACGCGCACTGCCGCAGGGCTGGTGTATGAAGAGATTAAGAGTTTCTTGGTTTGTTGTTGCCGTTGGCGTTGAGATGAAGAAAGAGCAGCTTTGGGATGAGCAAAATGAGTCGTGACAATAAATTTGAGGGATGTATTTTCGCCCACAAAATTGTATTCAATTACAATTGTATTTGAAATACGCACGTTTTAGTATTTAAATACACACGTCAAATACATTACACAATTTGTAATTAAATACAAATGCAGAATACACAAAGTATTTGAAATACGTATTTCAAATACTTGTATTTGAAATACTGCCCATCCCTGCGTGGAACAAATCCAAAACAAAACAAAAAACACACAAAAGTTAAGTTTTTTGATGATCGCCTCCTCAGCATTATGTAAACTAAATCCAGAAATTTTGGATGGCGGTTAACCCAAAGCAAGCCATAATGTCCTTCCGTTTCAATAGTTCTTTAGGAGACGAGCTAGGTGCTGCACTGGTAGAGAGAAAATCAGGAATATTTTTAGCGAGATATTTTCCCAGGACATTTTTTATTGCTATTTATCCCCCTAAATACAATATTATTGCATCATGAATCGATTCAATCACTCTGTCATCTAATGAAATTAATATGCTATTTAACATTCTTTGCGCAAATAAATCTTCTTCCGCAGATAACACATTTACGAAGCTCTACAAGCTCAGTAAACATGAAAGTTTCATATTTTTGTGTTCTATTTTTTAACAGCTCCTAGATCCAGGGCAATTACCAACTGATTGATGATTAACAGAAAGTCACTCCGGTCTTCAAAACTGACCAAAAAAATGAGCTTACGAAATATAGATCAATTTTTCTCAGAAGTTTAGCTAGCAAAGTAATAAGAAATACGATATTGTCAAATGTTATAAGCCACTTGTCTGTAAGCGACTGTATTTTCGATACTCAATATTTTTAATTTGGTACCAATTTATACTGCACCCATTGCCCTAGGGCGGAAACCCATGAAAGTTTTATTGACTTCCAGAAGACATTTGATAAAGTATCATATCGCCGGCTCTTTTTTAAATTTCGCGTTTTTCAAATAGAATCGTCTTCGCAATTCAGTGCATTTAATTTTTTTTCTCTAACGCTTAAAAGCTATTCACACTAATCAGGAATGCTCATATTATAAGAAAGTGAAGTAAGGAGTATCGGAAGAGACCGCTTTGGGCCTCCTACTTTTTATGTCAATAACTTACCGACTACAGTATCCAGTAAATCATTAGTTAGTATGCTAAACATGTAAAGTATTCATGACTGCTTTACGCTTAAAACTAATTTGATTAGTATAGAAAATGTATGTAAAAAGTGTCAGATGCACATAAGTGTTAAAAATATATAGTAACAATAATAACTATGCAGTCGCATTTAACCATTATTACTTCGATGCACCTGTTAAACACGCGTAAAAATATCGGGGGGTTCATTTCACATCACACACCTCTTGGGAAGCACATATTAATCATATAACCACAAAGGCAAACCAAATTCTCGGCTTCTTAAAGCGAATTCTGCAGATGGCCAAGTGGGAAAAAATACTTTTTGGTTACACTCCGCTCGTACGCTCTCAGCTAGGGTGTGCATCTGTAAAATAGAGCCCACCTCAATCTTATTTAATAAAAATTATAATCTGTCCAAAACAAGGCCACTCGCTTCATTCTAAAAAATTACTTTCGCAGAAGCATGACGAAATTGAAGAACGTACTTGATAATTCTCTCCTCACGGAGAGAGTTAAGATGTCCAGCCTTGTCTCCTTATACACCTTACATTACCATTCCCCATCAAAGAGATGTTTGTATTGTCTGGCTTCATTCCATATATTGCCACGCGCGCCGCCGAGCGAGCGCATCCGTGGCCGAATAGTTACCGTGCTTGGCTGTTGCACCGAGGCTCCAGGTTCGATTCTAGGGAGCGGACTCTTCTTTCACTTAATCTTCCAACTTGGCGTTCTCGTAAGTTCGAGAACCATGTTGTCTGATCGAGTTAGGAATGTACTACGCGCCGAACATTCTACGCCGAATGCTCTAAAAACTTAAGCGGGTACAAAAAGTGCTCCGCGTGACGTGTCGGAGGCAATCTCGCTCGTGCGTTCGATCGAGCTGCTCCGCCGACCTGCGACGCAACCTCTTAGTACTTTTGTTTGCGTCACAAGTTCGCCAAATTAAACGTTCACTTTTTGTTCATTCGTCGCCTCATCATCTGTCATTCGTGCCATTTTGGTGGAGGTGCTGGGTATCGCATTCTATGGCCGTGAAGCGTACCCTTCCGATGACATTCCTGCCAAGGGAGGTGCTCAGCCCCGGAAGGCTACCCTTCGCGGAGCATGCCGACGCCCGAGCAAGCCGCCGTACTAATGTCCAACTCCCGGAATTCGGACCCCTGCTGCAAAAGCCAAAAAAGAAAACCGCGACGATATACACCACCCGTCATGATCCT